ACTAATACTAACACATAATAAATGCGGGATGCAGGCTTCAAGTTCAACCCTCCCCATAAAAAGATACTAATTGCTGTTTCAGCAGCTGCCTTCAGTATTTGGCCGAGTAGGGAATCACAACCAATATTAACTACACGACATATAAAGGAACAACGTGAAAAAAGTCAAATTTACAAGAGCATCAATTCCAACGAAAACAAGAATGAAAATATGCATACCCAGAACCGTCATCCCAAGCGAAGTAAACTCTAAAGAAAACAACAACAAAAAGAAAAAAAAACAAACTAAATTTCTGATTCCGGTCTACCAACCCGTAAAAACTTATAAAAATTAATTTGCAGGTCGCGATTGCGCATTCAGCAACAAAAACACTAATGGCAGTGAGGTATCTGACAAATTTGTTTGTACAGTTATTTCAACACCGAATTTTCCATATTCTAATAACATAAATCTAAACAATACAGAAAAAATATGGGAAAAGCTTTCTTTTGAAAGAGTAACGAAGCCAACTAGTAAAAACAACTATGTGATCAATATTTAAAAATTAGTACAGTCAAACGGTCACAAATATACCCAAATGACCTATGAAGTTGTTACAAGTTTGAAAACTAGAAAGACGTACAGGAAACAAATTTACCACCCATTTGTTACTTCAAGAAAACAACACGTAAAATGAATAAATCCCCCAGATCCTGTTCAAAATGCACCCGTAACAACCATAAATTCACCCGCAAACTTAGACACATACTCACTAATGGTGACCTAAACGCGCTGTTGCTGAACGGTTGGACCATCCCTGTGAAACGAAATGACTGGGTCTGGAATACCGACATCCGCCCAGTTGCAACTATTACTAATAATTCCGGGCTGAGACATCCTATACTGCTGCTGAACAAACTGAGGTGGCTCTGCATCAACTCCGTTCAATAACGAATCATCCACACTAGTTCGAGAAACTGAATTGTTGTTTAAACGTTTACAAGGTGAAGCATTGACTGCAGTCGACGCAAAACCCATATTTGCTAAAATTTTTCTGAATATAAGTAACCCAAATAATAGATGAAATAATAAAAGCTTTGTCATGGCAAATGAGACTTACTAAAGTAGCAAGTACTAATAAGTGGGAATAAGGAACGTAAATTTTTATCTTTCTTCCTAAATAAAAAAAAGCAGAGGTACATTTATAACCAAAGTGATACATACTGGAAAAGCAAAGGTGATTTGATCGCTTTACTGTGGGAGATGCATTTGGTGTTGGATATGGGGCTACCCGAAGCAGAGAGCTTGACTTAGACCCTGACCGTGACGTCGCGACAGTGTTAGAGGGAAACGATGAGACCATGCACCCTACCTTGAAAATTTCAAGTAAGCTTACAATTAAGAAAAATTTACAAGAGTAGCATCCAGAAGATAATTAAAGAATAATTACTTCTTATCTAAACCACATGTCCTCAACTAAAAACTTGATGAACAACATGCGAAGACAGTAACAAGCGAATAAGTATTCACTGAAAGATACTTGTTGTTCAGGAGATGAAGCTCGTAAAGGTCCAGGATCCGAAGGAATTAAGTCGAAGAAGTCATTTGCCAAACCCTGAATATCACTAGTTAACTGCGTTGCATCTTCCTGTGCTACGTACGGGGCAAGCAGCTGAAGATTCTCCGGGTTCTCATAAAAATCTTAAAAAAAAGATAATGATTAATATGAGGTTGAGAGCTAAAATAAACACTGCTTAGCCAGAAAATACCAAGTCATAATTGTACTACTTCATTAAAAAATTTAATAAGCGACCCATACAAATTTAAAAATGATTAAACAATACAAAAAATAAATGGGACAAAAGCGAGGCAGCACAAAGACAAGTAAACAAATATACAGATACTAAACCAAATATTTTCTGACCATCAGTTTCCTCTTTATAGCTGGTTGTAAGACCATTTATTTGAGATGGAGCACTAATGACGGAAGTAGTTTGTATATAAGGTTCATAGCTCATAGGTTGTGAGTACGAAGAACAGGAAGAAGGCAAAATGGTGTACAAATCCGCTCGACTAGTTGTTGTGGGCCCAAATTCGTCAACGCTTGACAACGTGAAGGCGTCTAAACGTTTCATTATACAATCGGTGTTTGAAAATCACCTGACTTAACTGACCTCAAGCGAACGCAACAAGAGTTAAGTAATGAAATCTAAAAGAAAAGGAGAACAAGGATTAATATGATGAAAAGCATAAGAAAAATCAAAAGCTCGCATGAAAGAACAAAACAAAAAACGTTTTATTAAGCACTGTTCTAATTAAAACTGATGTAAAAAGAGATACATCTAAGCTTTTTAGAGGCAGTTCTATAACTGGTACATAAACTTTTAAGCGATCTAAGATTTCCACATAAAATTCCACCCGGGTGTAAGCAATGAAGAACAGAACAGAATGGTATCGGCCAAATGGAGTTAGAGGAGTACATACCGTCTGATGAACTGTTGGACACTCGTACATTGCTGAGGAGCGGATCGGAAGACAAATCGGTTCTGAAAGCTTGTATAGTGGCAGCAGCTGTTCCTCCAGAATCAAAGGATCCTCTTCCACTGGAGAGAGACCCTCCTCCTCCACCACTGGAAGTGGAACCACCTGAGGAACGAAGCTCGCAGTCAGCGAATCCAGCCGCCAACGGGCTGTATTCGACGCCTGCTGTAACATAATATCTGGATCATCTGCACATAATCCAATGACTCAACCATTTTAGAGATATTAGTAAAATTTGAATCTCTGACCAAGAAAAACAAGCAATAAAGCTTTCAAATTTATCTTTATCTGTTTAAAGCGTAGCAAAGCATTTGCCCTAGTGAATGATAAAAATTAAATATTGGTAAAAATATACAAAATATAGCTTGCAAGGCACACCGTTGTTGGCATAAGGACTACTTGATCCAATTTCATAGGTGATATCGTCGACACTCGATTCCGGCGTGTCAAATCGATTTGAGAGGAACGCAGCTTTTGCCAACGGAGGATCTGTGTCATCGGACTCACTGACGATACTTCTTTCTGCAAAAATGCCGATCCTGCGTGATTCCAGGATACAGATGCAGCAAAGCAACATGAGAAAGCAGCGAACACATTGTCGATAGTTAAATATAATGCAGATTTTTTCAACAAAAAGACAAGACAATAAGGTCTGTTAGTTAGATAATAAATACTATTAAAGACTTGAAATAAACGTTAACGACAATAACCATGGCTATATAACCTTAGCAAACACTTAGTGCTCAAAAATTAATAGAACAAGTGAAGGCCAAAGCAGTTTAATACATATTAAAGAACAAAATCGCCTACTTTGACTATCTTGGGTACGAAAAAGATTTGCGCTCGAGACTGCAGATCCTTGATCTCGAAAAAGCCATTGCAAAACTTCGTCACAACTGTTCTTTCGCGAATCTGTTAATGCTGCTACTGCAAAACAGTAATTTTAAACGTTTTTAAGCGAAAAGCCGAGAATCAGTACAGAAACAAAAATGGTGTAACGCAGATTAAAGGGATTGAACCGAGCCAAAAAAAACGAAGAAAAATCAAATCAGACACATAAAATTTACAGTCTAATAGAAGGAAATTCTAACTTTAGACTTTGCTGACAGATCCGTTACCTATTTTTTAGTAGTAAAAACTGGCTTTAGTTAACCGAAGCAAGAACTTCAACAATGACAAGTTATGTTTTTCAAATTATAGCAATAAATTTCTGAATAAAATGAAATCTCGTGTTGAAAAATCTAAAAGAGTAGTCCGTTAACGATTAAAATTATTGGCATAATGAAAGAACAGCTTAGTGGATGTTCCAGAATTGAAATTGAGAAAGAATCAAATGAAAAAGGAAAAGACTAAAAAGACGTAGAAACCAACGATTAATCCAGTGGTATGGAAAAAAACGAGTTTAAAGACTACATTTGCCAAAAGAAATGAAACATGACACAAAAAAACAAAAAACTAATCTTAGGTTTGTTAACTCAATTAACAAAAACTGTACATTTGAAAAAAGCATCTAACTCAGTTTACTACATTAAGAAGCCTTACAACAACGAGTACAATCCAATAATCGTGCAAAAGGCTACAGGCAAAAAGTAAGAAGTGAACAATTATCTGCAGTAAAAGATAAATTTTTGTCGCATATGCACTTTTATCTCAGTAAGACTGAAAACTTATAAATCTGAATGAAAAGAAGAAAAGCAAAAAGTGGCTTCCCAAACTCCAGCTTGTGCTACAAATTAGTTATAAAAGTCTAAGTTGTTCTGCGAAACACTAAACCTTGTAGTATCTCTGCAATTAAAAACAAAATTATAAATTTAAGTGTCACTTGAAGATCTTGAAGTGCTTCTGGTCGCATAACAATGCGACCTGGACTCTAACGGGTAAAAGCCCAAAAAAGCTTGAATAAGAGACAACCTGAGAGCGTTCTTTAGAATTGATTTGGTATTTAAAAAAAACCAGTAAACAGTAGTAACATCACTACGTTAAGAGTCAAAAACTTTTAAAATGCTTTTAAATGAATTGAAAATCATTGTTCTAACATGATCTCACATAAAACCAAGGTTCATACTTTAAAGGGCCCAGTTATTTTAAGGAATAAAGTTTCTGCTCCTTTACCTAAGGCTGACACCAATCTAAACCAACCATTTAAACTCCTTAAAAAGCATTATCAATTATAAGTATAGGTTACAAAAATTTAAATTAGTTACACGATCTGAAAAAAAGATAAGACTGTTCAACTAAACTTCACAAAACACTACTATTAAATATCTCCCTAAGTTATAGCGATAAGCAAATATTAAATACTGCCTTCACAATTATTATGCAATATCAGGTGTACCCATTTTTTTAAAAGAAAGGGGAAACACGCAAAAAATGTGTAAGCGCAATTGACAGAAATAAACTATTCAGATTCACAGCAACATGAAGTACTTAATGTATGTAGTTATCAATCACGCCGGTACCATAATACCTATTTTAGACGATCAATAAAATCGAAAGAAAAAAATCAAAAAAACGTTACCATTGTCATCTAGTTCTTTCTTAACTTGTACGAAAAATCCTTCACGTCCTGGAGCAAAAGATTCTCGCTCGCTCTGAGACCTGAATGAAAAAGTGTCGATGGTCCACGGTTCTGAATTGACGAGCAGTAGGTGGATAAAAAACTCTGTTATAAACATATCACTGATTTACCGCTTACCCTAACAAGTCATGCACACAAATGATATACTGTCCCTTATGTCCTTTAGAAGTATGATTTACAGTCGTTGCTTCTGTCTGTACCCATATCACAATATCGTTAGCACCTATCAAACGATAGTAAGGAGTTCTTGCATGGCCTTTACTGAGCATTTCGCGTATAGAAGATGCAACAGCAACAATGTCTGCAGGGTGAACAAGACTATAAAACGAGGCGCCAACCAGAGATCGTGATTCTTGCCGTAGAATGTGATTGAAACTAAAAATAAGATTATGCTGTGAAACTGATAAATTATCAAAAATGGCCTCTTTCTAAGTGGGTTCTGAATATGCTACAAAAAAATGAAAAAAATTTTGAAAACAAAATTTCTAACATATGAACATCTCAAGTCGCCAATAAAATTACTGCGCCGAAACCTTAAAATGCACTTCATTATTTAATAATATGCCCCAAAACCAACCTGTCACTAACATAGGAAAATTTCATGTCACATGTGTGTCTCGTCATATATGTCCCGTTCGGTATTTCAGCACTTTTTGCTGCTGCTGCTGCGCTAGAACCCTGACCGGCAGGTTGTGCACTTCCCTGCAGCAATCGAACACGACCTCCTTCGCCAGGTATTGAACGTGTTCGGCACACTACCGGCTAAACAATGTGTAAATTATAAAACTTCTACAAGACTAACTTACGTCATAATCAGAAATGTTAAAAAAACTACTTGTCTGCCTAAAAACTCAAAAAATGTCAAAAAAGTGTATCACATATTGACATCGCCTACTTTCCTGTATTTTTCCAACCAAAAATCCAAAGTAAATTCTAAAAATTTGTGATTCATTTTTTTCTACTCAAAGAAAACTCAAGCTGCATAATGAAAACGAAACAAAGGTTCAAATTAAACGTCTTTTATTTCTTTACAATGACAATCTATCTATGGCTCAAAACAAACCAAAAAAGTTAACTACTCTTTCATAAAAAAGAAGCTGCACTTCTTTTTAAACCAATTTGCACAATGCTTGACAAAAACTCTTTATTGTACAGCAAGGAGAGCAAAAGATATCATATATAATCACCTTGAAAAGGGCACTTTTAAGGTTGAGATTCCTTCCCCTTGGGCTTATTACTGACTTCATTCGAAGACTCATAGTGACACCTTCTTCATTTCCATCATTACAGCATTTTGTGAATTCTTCATAATCAGACGGATGAACGAATTCTTTTAACGACCGCCCAGTAAGGTCAGTCTATAATGTGTTAACCATTTACAGTGAAGAAGACCAGTAGAAGCAAAAGGCTTATAAAGCCACAAAATACTTTTTGAAAGATGCTGAAATGACATCTTTGACAACAGTGGTCAACGGTGCATTTAAGCAAACTTTCGGCCTTTTTTCCCTCAACAAAAACTTAAGGCGATTTTATCCTGTGTTATAAATAATCTCATGACACTGAAACGCTGCTGCTAAAGATTGGTTTAAAAATATAGATCAGGACAGGAAACTTCTGAGAGACAGTTTTATAATTTCGTTCTTGCAAAATAACTATTTATTCAGTCAGGGTTTCCTTGCATAACTCACGCTCAAACTACTAAAAAGAATTACCTGAAACTGAAATAAAGTACAAAAAACTGAAATGTGTACAAAATGTTTTTAGAAAGCTAAATGTACGATTATGTACAAAAAATCATCAGTTTGTGCAGAATTCATGGGCCATTGTTCCCAGTATAGTAATATGTCTATACTAAAACACAAGCAGCGCGTTACTTTCAAGCCGTCTAGACAATTCACTTTTAAAATTAACATTTTATCAGCACCAAAATCCCTCCACTTTTTATGGAACTCCCCGTTTTGTGATCATTTATGAGCTTTCTGATAACGCTGGTAAAAATTGTTTAGATTAGTGTACCGCAATTTTTATACCGCTACACTAGCGGGCAAAGACACGGATATACGCAAAGAAAAATAAAAATACAAGGAGAAATGCAAAAATTAAAACTATCTGAAAAACAAAGCGAAAAAATTCTATCAACAAAGACTAAAAATTCTATCAAAAAAATCTTATTAGCAAAATTTATTTTGGTTCTCGGTAAACTCAACTCCCAAAAAATATTAAATATTTTTGCAGAGGTTTTGACAACCAAAAGCGAAAATTTTAAGCCATTGTAAGGTAACAGGCGCATGTAATCAAAAATTAAAATTTTCAAAAAAGATCCGGTTGCTTTTAATCCAATTCTTTACTGTGATACTCCCTAGATCTCAGGATGAAAGAGGAGAGATGTAATGATAAAGAACTGGTTTCCACATATTTAATGTAATCCATAATACCAATCAATAGCATTAAATAAACTAAATTTTAATTTTTGATAATTCAAGCGATCTTTATTACTCGTTTCCTACCTTCACCCGCCTAAAAATGTTTAATCACCAGCGCTGCGTTAAGAAGCAACAAATATTTTTGAAAAATTTAAAAAAAGATTCATTTAACAGCATTATTCTTACCTGCGTTAAACCAAGATATATTGAAATACTTTCTGAAACATAAAGAATCACTCCGTCAGAATCAAGTATTGCAAGAAAACCATCCAAACTTTCTAACAGTGTTGTTTCAGAAAATAATTGTCCGCTTTCTTCGCAAAGACTCGTCTTAAGAACTATAATCAAAAATTTGATTGACAGAAGAAGTGCCAGTAAATGTCTATTAAAAAAAATATTAATGAACTTTAATAAAAAGTCACCTCAAAACTTCGAAAAGAAATCAAATTTAGGAAGATTAGAGATCACGTAATAAATTCATAAATTACTCAGCAAAAAAGTTATTTAAAAATTGTTTTACTCTACTCAAAAACATATATTACCTTAAAACAAAAACGAAATTAAAAAAAGACAATAGTGGTAAAAAAATGGTGATGCAAAATACATTATTAATTAAAAACTGTTTACATGCTGCAGCATTTTTGCGCAGTCGGCAAAGTGTAGAAGCAACTCGAAGAAGTGCAATACGGTCAACATGTGTTACTGTTGCCTCCTCAACAATTGGCACTACTTCCTTGAGATCGGTAAAAATATCTGCCTCTTTTCCTCTTCTGTCTCGAGCGGCGTGTCGAGATGTTTCACGACGCCGGTCAAGATTTCTGAATCAAGCGGGAAAAGTTCTTCAAATAATGAACGATAAATTTTAAAAAGAAATGAATTGTTACGTTCCAGGTTTTTTTAATCTTGAAGCTGTTGATTTGAAACATAAGATGAAAAACAAAAAGAAAGAAAATGATAGAATATTCAAAAAACAAATTTGATTCTGCCTTCATACAAATGAGTAACAAAAAGAGTAAAAAATAAAATAAGTGAATATGAAAAGTAGAGGAAAAAATGTATGGTAATCATCCTACTCTTTTTTCTTTTTCAAATTTAGACTAAAACAGATTTCTGATAGTAACCGTAAATGGCGCTTACGTAATTTAAAAGATTTTACTGCTTAAGGAAGAAAATTTATTCAAATTCAATTTGTATAAAAAGTATCGTGAAGAAATATTTAAAAAATGAAGCATTTAAAAGGTCGCTGGTAAAGCGAGAATGCATAATTTTTGAAAGTTTGCAGGTTTTTATTATCAGATGCTTCGCTTATTAAAATTATTATAAAACAGCTTTGAAAAAAAATGTTGCAAGCCCGTAGTAATTAATGCCTCCTAAGTACACATAAATCCACTAACCCGCAGATATGATATCGGAAAATAAAATAATGATCATAATCTAGAAATAATTTAGGCGATACTGTAGTTAGTGACCTATATACTAGAAACTGAAATGCTGTCTAACCTAAACAAAAAAAGTGCAGTTGAATTCTGGTCAAATAAAAACTGCAATCATTTTGAAGCTGCTACCTTCAAAATTTTCAAAAGTAACAAAAAAAAGCTTTTGTTGTAAAATATCAAG